TCAAAAGTTGCACGGGAATGTTTGGGAAGCTAAGCCAGGGCAAGCAGCTGTGAATCGCAGTACCTTACTGTGATTCTCTGAATAAAAAAATGTGTACTTCCTTTAAGGCTGTGGCTTGATAAATCTGGGTGAATGGGGTGAAACGTGGTGGGTGCATTAGCTGTTCATCAGCCTGCATGGGTGCTCAGACTCAGAGCACTCGAGTGTGGTGGTGCAGTCAGGCTGAGGGCAGCGAGATGGGCAAACAACCTTCATGAACTCTGCAAGCTGTGAACCAGAGTCTGCCCCACATGTAGCGAGCCTGGCAGAGCGGGAGGGTGGCGTGGAACAGACAGACCTCACCCCACTGCTTACTGGACCTCCCTCAGAGCTTCCCTGCAGAGGGAACATGCTGGCACATGGCCAGGGGGTGATTTTACACTGACAAGTTCCCAGCGTAGCTACCAGCGACAGGCTGCAACACGTTAATAACTGTTGGGGCAGGGAGATGAGTGATCCTGCAGCCTGGGCTGGGGTAAGAAGAGCCTGTTGGCCAAGGCCCATCTCATTATCTGCCCTCTGTTAGCGGGTGCACCTAGAACAGGAGCAGCACCTGCTGTTGTTGCTGCACCTCCCCTTGTCCCAGAGCCACTGCACCCTCACTGCCTTAGTGTCTCCTGGCTCTATGGCCTTTTGCACTGCTGGTAGCTCAGCATGGATCCCTACATACTAGCTCAGCCCTACGTGAAACCTAAATCCCCTTTGTGCATCCCCAACACCTTGCAGTGCAGGAATCACACAAATAACCAGTTCTGTCCTGTTCCCAGTACAATACCAGCCCATTCAGCCACTTCTCCCATGGAACTGTGCCTCGCCTTGGAGTGTCCTTGTTGCCCTTTGGGCATGGGAAATGCATGTGACACTCCAAGTGCAGGTCTGTCAGGGTTCACGAAATATTTTCTCTTTTCTTACTCCTTCCCTAACACTTTTTTGACTTCTGGCAACCACTAAGCTGACAAAGTATTTAATGGAGTTGCTACAACTGGACTCGATAATCTTAGAGGTATTTTCCAACCTTAATGATTCTATGATTCAATAATAATTCTGCATGTTGTCCCTGCACAGCAATCCCAGTTTTATAGACTGCTGCTGAATGGCTGGAATTAGGATTGGTTTTCCCTGAAAAACTGTGAGCCTGTGCCAAATTTTACTGGCTGTCCTTCTGCCCAGTGGCTCAGGTCCTTCTGCAGGGACATTTTCACTCCTTAAATGGCTCTGTGAGCACATTTTCATTACAAGCCACTCCTCACAAGGCCTCATAGCGCTGATTATAAACTTGGTGTGGGACTGAGGAGTCCTAACCCAGACTAGAAACTTGGGCTCTCAAAGGGAAGGTGTAACACTTTCAAGCATTAGTTTTCATAATAAAAACATTTGAGATTTGAGGGTTTGGGGGTTTTTTTCCTGTTTGTAGCTTCTCACTTCACAAATTCACCAGCTGCTTTGTTACTGTACCTACATCCAAGACTCTCTCAAGGCTGAGGAGAGACTGGGGCAGATCCTCCACTTGGCACCACTCTGTACCCCTGAGTCATTGAGCTTTGAATTCAGATTGCACAATCCTCACCGGGCTATTTCTTAACTTCCAGTGCAGCTTCGTAGAAAACAACAGGATGTTTTCAGCAGCTATTTCAGCTTTAGAGCAGATGATATATGGTTTAGGGGATTATTTTTTCAGTTAAGTCTACTTCCTTCACTAATGCAGGATGTTGAAATATGTGAAGAGCCCAGGGGCTCTCGGCAGGAGCTCACGGCACTGAAAAATCTTTCTCAACGTGAGCTGTGGCACTTCCTCAATCCTGACTCACCAAACTCGAGCCATTTGAGTGGGGCTTCCTTTGCTCTGCCAGTTCCTCACCAGGCTCTGACTGAGCCCCACTGCCACAGGGAGCACACCCCAACACCTGCTGCTGTTCCATCCTGCCAAAAAGGGCCTCTGGCCGACCCTGCTGGTCAGAAAGGCACTTTACACTGTGCTTATTCAGGCCAAGGGATTTATTTACCTTCCGGCTGCAGGGGCTGTGTGAGCAGAAAAACAAAGCAACAGCTCCAGAACAGATCCAGCCGTGCCAGCAGCAGCACAGTGACGTGATTCCAGGACGAAAATCAGCCATGCTAGCAGGAAAATGAACCTTCCCAGTGTAAGCACACCAGCAGGAACTCTGCAGTGTGGATGAAAGCCACCCAGCCTTGTTATTCCCTGGCATGTTTCACATTCCCTGGAATAGCTGGCTCTGGGCTCCAGTGGGCTGTGGTGCAAAGGGCACGGGCTGGAGCCCTCTGGCAGTGACAGGGGCAGCTGAGCACGGCCCACACACAGGATCTCACATCCAAACCTTGATTGGTGTCGTGACCAGAGGGGATGAAGACGTTTCACTACAGGGAGCAGCTCTGTGCTGAGGGGAGAAATGAATAATCCCAGGCGATTCCACAGGGATTATAAACCAGCCCAGTTCTATTTCTGTAATTTCTGTAATTTCAGAGAGAAACAGGCTGACTCAGAGGGAAACCTTAAAATAAACACTACCTTAGCACACTTGGGTGCTTCCCTGGCTTGAGGATGTTGTCCTTTCAACATCTCCCATCTGTCAAATCTATACTCCTACACTATTTTTCACTCCTTCTACACTTTTATAGCAAGCAGCTAATCCCTCTGCCAGTATTCCCCTGCTTTTCCATTCCTCTACCCATGCGAGTTCCATGTATTCTCTCCTTTCTAGAAAGTGTTTCCCCCCTCTCCTCTCCCCTCCAAATGATTCCCTCCCCCCTTTAGCTGCTGGTGGTTGCCACCAACTTCTTAAATCTTTAAACTAAAGTTCAGATATTTGAAGCTGTCAGGAGTGTTAACTAGTTCCAAGGAAAATTATCCTTCTGCCCCCCACCTCTCTCTCCCACATTCCCTAGTGTTCTGCCCACCAAACCCTGTCCCATCTCCTGAAATCTTGGCTGGTGAGATGTGGTGTTCAGAAGTGTCTTCTGAACAGGAATGCTGGAGTCTGAGACCATCCTTACTCAGCCTGTTCAAGGTTCTTTCAGCTATTTAGAATCCCTTTCTCCTCCTGCTGAGCTTTGTTGCACACAGTCACTTTTAAGACAGCTTTCAGTCACCGTGTTTGATCATTGCCATTGTAAGGCAGGTAGGAAACACCTGCTTCCAGTTGTGTGGCACTTGAGAGGGCTTTGCTCCTGTCAGTGCCACTCTTGCAGCCATCGGGTTCAGCTGGAGGCAAGAGCAGGAAGTCAAATGGCTGAAAGTGCTTGAGGAGAATGGAGACACTCCTGTCTACAGTGAAACTGTAACAATATAATTTCCTTGTTCTGAATCAGAAAAGTCTGAATGAAAGCATTTAATTGTTTACCACACTTTCTGTGAGGAGCAGGTAATTCATTAGCAGTGAGGTCAGCCATGTAAGCACTATCTCAGAATAGCTGACTCATTCTAAAAACACACCCACCCTTGCCATAACAGGGTGTGTTAGAGCCCAAAGGGGCCGGTCCTTTGAGGAAAACTGGAATAAGTAACACTTAACACTTACTGGAAGGAGAAAATGGCCTTTTCAGTGTTAAGTAAACTGACTTGCCCTCAGAAAGATAAGAACCCTTTATCGTGTTACCCCACAGCTGCAGCACTGCCCAGCTTGCTGGCAGGAGGCAGAGCCCACCAGCCTATGGTGCTACCAGAACTCTCCCGGTGCAGGCAGTCACAGCCTCAGCACATCACCCCTGCCTCTTTTTTTTTTTTTTCCATAAGGTGAATGGATTTCTTTGGGGTATCCGTTTAAGGCACGTTTCAAAGTCTGAACTGTCATTCCCAATTCTCCCACTTCTCAAGGACAGGCTCCCCGAACAGCACAGGATGGGCTACTTGAGGGAAAAATGCCTGAAGTTTTCTCCTGAGACACTTTCAAAATCTCCTGTTTGCTACCATAACGATTTGAAGTCCCTTTCCCCAATCTATCCCCTGACCACTGTGCTCCCTGAAGGACGAGAGGAAGTGGAGCCACAGTCCAACCAAAGTGTTTCTGCCACCTGCTTTCGCAGAGGCCGCCC